GAGATCTTTTTTTAGTACTGAAGTTATATTGACCGTTCTCCAAATGTTTGGGATCACACCCATAGTGAGCCATTTGCTGAAGAGATCTGTTAAAGGCAGTGTGTGAGAATCAGCACATACTATCAAGGCGAATGTAGAGAGAGCATCCGGACCACAAGCTTTGTTTGCATGTAATATTTGAGTTCCTTGTTAATGTTGGTTTGGTGGGAGGGAGTAGCTGGACTTGAGCCAACGGAGGAGGACAAGGAAAGTGATCTTATTGAGGCGGAACTAAACTCAGAATTCGGTTTATTCATATTCAATTTCCCCCTGGTTGCAAAAACCTTTACCACAAAACTGCCTCAGAATCATCCATTGATCGCGACAGTTTTGTTTGCCTAGAACTACTTCAAGTTGTAATTGGTTTAGTCCTTTTATCTCGGATTGCGGTTGCAATTTTTGTTTGTGCACCCATTCCTTTAACCCTCGAAGTCGCTTTAGCATTAGTGATGTAGATGTATCCGCTCTTAGATAGATAGTTTCAACTCAGGACAACACAAGGGAAAGCCATATTTGATGTAGTCCGTAAGATGGTCACATTAGAGCGACAGGTCCTCGTCGGTAAAGACCGAACAATCAGTTAACGAAAGCATAGACCGTAGCCTCGTGATATTTTCCAACGAGCAATTTTGCCCTTTGATAACCTTATGAGGACCCCTGGCCAGCGCAAACATTAAGCCCTGCTGTATTTGACTGGACACACGTTTAAAATATAATGATCTGAGCTACACAAATGGGTCCATTTTTGTATGGAAAACAACAGCATATTATTTGTTAACACGGCGTAAAACTGGGAATCTTGTCTGGTCGAAATAGCTACTAGGTCTTCAAAGCAAAGTGTCCTTAAGTTTTTATATACTTCTATTGAAGTCGCCAGCAATCATACAGTTAGAACAATCTAATTCATGCAGTACCGTGGAAGAAAGTTTGTCCTGAAAATGTTCTGATACAGATGTGTCAGGAGCAGTGTATATGTTTCCCGCAATCACGCACTGAAAGACACTTAAGAACATCGGTTTGCATTCAACCAATTGGCAGCTTATAGAAATCGATGTGTATGATTATTACGATTGCTGAATTGAACCAAGGTTGATTAACGTAAGTTATAACGTCACCACAACGAAACCAGGGCTTTCCGGGGAAGTCAAACCTGATGGGAATATAAACATTAAGTTGATTTACCCCATTTTCTATACAGTATGCAATCAGCTTTCTGATAAAAGAAGGGTTACTGAATTAACCTACTGATTTCGCTGCATGATAGCACTGAGGATATTGATTTTACCAAGAACTGTGCAAACCTTACTAGAAAGTATCATTGGGACTTGCGCTTTGTCGACAGAAAAACGACTGAGGAGAGATTGCCAGGCAGCACCATGCTTCCGCTATTTTACATGCCGCTTATTCCTAATACAGTTGAAGGACTTCCTGATTTTGTGGCTGTATTCGATCAGGTACACATCTAAAGCAGTAACACGCGACGTATTCAAATGTTAGGCATAGTAAGACAGCGTTGCGTTTGGACCAAGAAAAAACAAATTGTTTTAACTACAAATAAAAATAAAACACTCAATCGGTAGCCTAAACTTATTCTCAAAAGGGAACATCAACTGCCGAATTTGAAGGCCCCGCCACAAATGCTTGTACACAACGCTTTGTTTTCTTCTGACATCCATCAAAACATAACCCATCTTACTACATGTCGCAAACATGTCAAATGTGACTCTAAGAATCCAAATAAATACTTATTCAACATGATGACGCGAAAACTATGAGCAAAATGATAATGGCTTGAGAATTTGCAACCACATTATATCTACAGGAATGGAGCACATAAACATACGCAAGCTATGGCACTAAAAAGAGGAGGAAACTACTCCGTGGACACAGTGTACTAAAAAAAACGCTGCTCTTCTTCGTTATGTCTCATAACAGTACCTGTTAATATTATACAACCGTTTGGGGGACAGATATAAAAGCGGAAACATTTGCAAAAATGCGAAAATCTTGACCTAGTATGCAGTGCAACATGAGTCTGAGTGTAAAACACTTTTGAACATAGACCACCAGTTTCACCTTGCTTATAGCAGCAGCCTCGGAAAACTGAGCGAGTCGATAGTTTGCATAGCGAAGCAGAATTCTGATAATCGTGTTTACCCAAGTCTGATGACCAAAGGTCAACATGTGTCTGCAGAACGAAGATCTCCGCGGCCTGCATGTACGAGTAGACTGAATTGGAGCTGCACATTGCCTTGTCTCGTATTAAACCCATTTTGGCACGCGCTCATTTATTCTGAAACTTATAGTTCTCTTAGTACTTCCTAAATATAGACCTCTGTTGATGCATGTCTACTGGTATACTTCATAGCAGTTGGTCTTCATAGGCGTAGAGGTAGATGCAGCTTATTCATTCGCGCGATCATAGCAACTTTGATAGCGGATAACGGGATGTGTGTGGCAGTAATCAGACACATTTGAGTCCTCAGTGTATAAATGTCAACATTTTAGGTTACTTACAATAATAACTTTAGTTAGGATAAGGTGTGCATGAAATGACCTTTGAATGTTTTGGCTGCGCTTTTTATAACCTACTAAGATAGCTATTTGCAGTTAGTATCTTACAGTATCAGCTCCTGATTAACCGTCAGAGAATCAGTCAAATAAAATTGTCTGGAACAAAAATATTTCGCCGGTGTCACACTTGCTTGAAGATTGTAAAATGTAGATATTGGGTGGACCACGTCGCGTTCCATTAGACAGAAACGTTTGAGTCTTCAGACTACTTTTAGATGAAGAGAACATCCAAATGCAGATAAGGGTACTATTGTTCAAATTTTCAATAACCTTACGTCACAATAATAATTATTTAAAGGCCTATCGACTAATTTTTTCGTTTCCGTCAAAAAGAAAACACTAAGCTATCATCTAAATACCGTTCATCCAATAACAACTGAAGTGTTTATTCGATAAGGCTCGTTATATCATCTACACGAGGAAGCCTGCTAATATAAGACTTAGCGGTCTACCCACTTCTACTACCATTCTGACTATTTGGTAGGTTCCAACAGTAAATGTTAACGTCCTCTATGTACATACGCTGTTAAACTTCCAAAGAACTTACCGGTATTGACAACGAACATCCTAAACCTGTTTTGTTCCGCAAAAGCAGTCTGCTCTCTGGAGCAGCGGGACATTAATGAGCATGTTGTTAAATGTTATGGATAACGTTTTAGCGGATAGCTTTATTTCAGCAAGATCTTTGGCATACACAAGCGATTCTATTGAGCGGAAATTTATCAAGTTGATGTGTTAACACAAACGCTAAAATTTCTATCGATCATGTCATGACAAAATATATTCTCGCGTCTTTTCATTAAGAAGTATTGAAAAGCTTGATGATGCTCAAAACAGAATTACAACCCAGACAAATTGTTTTGATCTTGGCGTGAAGTTGGCGTGAGTTTCGTAAAAATCTTCCATCATACCTACGGTTGAAGACGGCAGTGATGGAATTATATCTGCCAAACACTTTCGCTTATAAAACGTTAAAGTCGCGAAATCAACCTCTTCATAAAGATGTTTCAAAACCACAGAAACTACACACTTTGCCACTGATAAAACTGCCATTTGACACCATACATTCTGTATATGTTAAGTTGAAGCTGAACAATCAGTATGTTAAGAAATGGTGATAAAGTGGATGAATTTAATTGTGTCTTAACGTTAATCTCATGGTGATTTCATTTATTTGTGTTTCAGTTCAGTATCAAGTTTGGGACTGGTTCAACGGACTTGTTAATACTTAGCTATGCTTACCCGTGTTATACGAATTTCCATTTTTCCATTGAAGTGCTTAAAGCGCTGAAAGGTTTGTTTCACCTTGCTTACCAAACCCCCGTAAAAGTTTGATTGTGTAGCGGAGAATATCGGCATCCACAAGGAGACTTTAGTTTGTTTTATTTATATTGAGGAACACAAACATTTCTGGCGGGAAATTTGAAACGTAGTTATAATATTCACCTGAGAGACCTATGGATTATACTGGCCACATAGTGCAGTCGAGTTGACTGTCGGCGTTCTGTGAACACGTCAACTTTGTCCCTATAGTATTGTGTTATCCAACCCTGCTTGAAGCTAAAATCTCCTAATTGTATCGCGTGAATTTACCTATTTCATTCTGAAGAGGAAATCAAACGAAACAAACTACGCTGAACTTCCCTTTACATGTCGTAAAGGTAAAGGAAACCGCATTATTTGAATGTAAAATATTTTTCTAAATCTTTAGAATCTCTTCATGTAATGAACACATCAAATAGCAAGAAATTTGAAAGACTATCGTACTTTCATTTAAGTGAAATATGCTACATAACGGTATGATATAACTCAATTTCTAAACTATTAATATTTCACTTCTCATGCCGAAATGAAATACTTTTAATTTATCGACGTTTGCTAAATTATGACTCTTGTAAAGCTATCATTTTTTACCCATCATACATTAAATAACTGTTGAACTATCATCGTTATTGAGAATAGACTTCTGGGTCAACCATAACCCGAATATTTCTATCTTTTCTTGATAGGTTTACTTTTGGTTTTTCAGTCCTACGACCATTCTATGGGACGTGGCAGGCAAACGTCTTTTTATTCGTAATAAATCGTTATTCATTGTTCAGAAGATCTATATCACCGCTGCTAGCACAATAAAATATTGCTGTGTATACAATGTAAAGTTGCACGCCGGTGTGCCCATTACGCTGTGCATAATGTGGTGGTTCTAGATTTCTCGAGTTTTATTGGTTCAGTGACTAGCAGCTATAGGTTGAGTGCACGCCATTCTACTCTTCGATTGACGAACGATGAACTAGCACACCCAATATTTCGATTAAGTGTGACGGTTTGGGACGAATAAGTAGATATAAATGATTGAGTTTAGTGCAAAATGGTGGTGTTAGACCAAGCGGAAGATTAAAAGCCTCATTTTACTTCCGACTAATAAAGTTATTGTGTACAAATGAGCCCAAAAATGTACTTTCGTAACGTGCAGCTTTACTTCACATTATTTCAGCTGAATGTAGTAAGTCCCGTCCATTTTGACCGTAATTTAGTTTGTAAGAATTTACATAGTTCGCACGAGGTTCTCATAATGATTTTGACTCAAGAAATAGGAAAAGCCTTTTGGCAAAATTATGCTAAGAAGTAAATATTCTGTCTTGTGAATAGAAGAGTTATTCATTGGAAAATAGGTTTGTAACGGCCAAACATACTTGAACCTTATGCTTCACCATAATCGAGATCTTGATTTTTACTTTCTTTATCAGCTTGGATTGCAATGAACTAATAATGCTGACATATTCGATCACAATTTAACATTTTATACAAATCGAAATTGCATAAATAGTTTGGATCTAGCATGAGATGCCATGCACTGTTTACATATAAGCAGCACATTGTACATTCATTAAATCTTCAAAGTACCGCAAGCGCAACAAAATTTATGTTATGTCATAAATTTACTTACATTGTCCGACTGTTATTTAGGCTACGCAACATATTTGCAATTTACGTCCTCTGAACTATAAAAGAAGTATGCTTTTTCTCAATGGTAGACCAAGTGCAATAAACTTTGGTTGTGCGTTTTGTTTTAAATCAAGGCAAGGTTTATCTGTAGAGAAAATCATTGAATATTCCAGGATCAGCAAATTAACTTGTCACATTTGGAAGACAAATGCTACGTTGGATATATATCCAGGTTCTAATTATAGCTGGAAATTTTTCGAACTACATTAATGGGTGGAGATGTAAGCTAATGCTCTGTTTTCTATCTCATTGAAATTGCAAAATATGGAGTAACTATGAAAATAAATATCACATAACCTAAGAATAAGCAAGTTTTTCGTCATGAACACCAGGAAACAGCACTACTGCCTGGTCACGATCATTATTACATAAGTTCCGTTCGCACAAATATTTCTTTTCTTTGTCCCATGCGATTATTTACCTAATGGCATATTGTGGTCAGATATCTGCAAATATCAACGCCCTAATCCTGGGGGCTGGAACAAGCATAGTCTTAAAACTACGCTGCAAAGACGTTTCATGTGGAACGTGGATAATCCTGGTGTCTAAACAAACATGGTTAAAATTTCTGATTGAGTTGGATTTAGCAGAGTGCAGTCCGTAATAATAAAATATTTATCTGCACATGCACATGCTTGGCATAATCATTGTGCAACTTGTTAAAGAATTTAATAGACAAAAATAATGCGTTAATAAATGGAAACGTTGATCTAAAATTCCAACACAAATTTGGACAATTAACAGTTTCCTCTTTGGTGCATAACAGTTACTTTGTATTCTTTAGTTGCTTGTGTTTCAGTGTATACCGTATGTTTGCAAAGTAGATGTTTTAGTACCATACGACAGCAACGATTAGCAAACATGAAGCTTTTGTAACACTTATGACACCAAGGAAAAGCTACAATTACTTGAAGGCGGATGGCGAGCGCTTCTGCTGTCGCTATAAGCGACATCTTACCACTCGTATGCAGCATAGAGGAAGGCGTTAAATTTGCTAATAAGCATTGGTACGATTTGATCTGTTGGTTAAAATCAACTAGGTGTGCAAACACGGTGCTTCACTGTTTTTGTTCCACCTGCACAAATCCAAGTCGGTCAATGCTCACGGATTGCCTCATACAGTCTCCTAGTTTTTCTTCCGATATAACTTGCTCGATAGAAAAAGTAAAGTAGTGCACACAGAAACATGTACTTGATTAAGGACGCCTGTCCTTAGGTTGAAGTCTTACGAATGGCATTGAAGTAAATCTTAGCCGTAGGCTTGCTGCGTAATATGTAAGGTTTATGGCGTCGGATAGCCTTCTGGACGTTTCCTTCGATATTTCCTCCCACAATCAAGTATTTCTTTTTGTGTATCCTAATTTACTTGTCTCATGTCGAGCATGTTATATCGCAATAAAAACCAGGAGCCCGGCTGAGATAGTCCGTGAGCATTGCTCGACGTGGCTATGTGTAAGTGGAAAAGATAGTGAGGAGTGCTGTGTATGCACGTTTAGTTGATTTCAACCACCAGATCGATACGTAGCAAAATTTTCAGCTATTTAACCGCGTACCTGGATGTTACACAGGAGTGATAAGATGTCGCTGATTAGCAACAGCCGAAGCGATGGTTATCCACCTCCAGAACCTAAATGCGTGTGCACAATAGTTTCGTTCAGCTTCTCTCTCTTTCCTGGCCCCATATTACCATTCTTTGAAGCTTTAAACGTCAAGAAAACTGAATTGTCATACTTGCCCAATCGAATTGCACCTAATGCTTACTTGAAGACAAGTAATTCATCTAGTGGGATACCTAACATATAAAGACACCTTACTGTGGTTATTTAGCAGCTTGCGTGACAAATCGCTTGGCGTTTTTGGTTAAGCACACATTCCATCTGACCTCTATGGGAATCTAACCAACATGTCAACTGTTGTTATTTTGTGGTTGATCCACTAAGGTACCGGGTAAAGTAACAATGGTCATGACTAACCTATTCAATCTATTAGCGCAAAGCTCATTATTAAATGACATCACATCACCGCGGCGCAGAAGACAGCATGGCCACCTCAACAGGTAAAATTTACTCCCTTCCTGCAGACAATTAACTTATGAATTATTAGCAGTTGGGTTTTCGCCTTCATTTTAAGAAAGTAATATGGGTAATTGCATGGTATAAGTGGCATTCTTTATATCTAGGCCAAGACAAATAGCCATCGCACGCCCGGAATATCACGACGTGACCGTTTCATCTTTTCGGGAATCGTCAGTAGTACGCATTCCGTCTGAGCCCTGTGTGGCTCAGAACCGGCAACTATACTGTTGCCGAGATGGGATTATGATTACTGAGGTGCGCAGGACAATAACCAGCGTCGTAACTATCACTTATTTGCCTTTTGTAAATATCAGACCAGCGTTGAAGTAATCCTAGAGCAAGCTAAATAACGTACGTCATTTTTTGAAAACGACATTGCATTTTTAAATTTCACTCGGAAATCCTTACATGTTAAGAAAATTGTTTCTTTTGTATTTAAACTCCTAAACGGAGTTGGTTGCTCAAGTGATAACTATCGATATCTCAAAAGCTTGCAAATTTTGCGTGTTAATCACGAAAGTTAACATTCTACGCTGCCATGTAAAAATATTTGCTAAATAACACCATATTAAGCTTCGCGCACACTTTTAAGCTAAATTTGTACCGAATCCAAACTTAATTGTTACCTACTACGATGAAAAGTTTTGCAAGCAATCAGATTATCCCTAAAGGTTTGGAAGCCATCGTAATCCAAATAGTAATATGTAGTATTTCCAACAACTTATGTTTTGACTTGTATGCCAGAATAAGAATGGAGACTGACATCTCCTCAGAAATACCAGACAGCAGCAAGCGGTATAAATGCAATTATGGTATCTTCGGTATCTGTGTTATTACGGCATTGACAAATTTATTGTTTTTCATTTCCGCAACTTCTATTGCTCCGCAGCGGAGACCACGGTAATTAGCAGAACATGCATAGTTTGGTGATAAATTGGATCTTCCACCTATACAGTTACTGTATAACAAGCGCTAAAGCAGCACCAACGAAATACAGGAACATATGTTAGTTTGTTGATGAGCCTGTTGTGCTTGGCACAAATAGAATTTGGTCTACATAAAAAGTGCTTCCAAGTAACATAATCTAACTCCGAATCAACAATGTAAATGACGATTCACCTAATACGGAGGTCAGTAAGTGTTAACATCAGTTAGTTTGTTAGAAAGATATATTTAGAAGACCATACAACTAGAAAAATTATCAAGAACACCAGTCTGAGGCTAACAATTGGTTGCAATTCTACGTCTACGGGACGGTTAAAATATATATAATGGGTTTAATGATTGGTTCTGAGGTTTGTTACGAAATAAGTGGGTCTATGGTTAGACAGGAAATCATTCGCCGCTGTCCCATGCACTCTCCGTCGTCACGCTTTAAATCCGCGCGATACCGTTTGTCATAAAATTCCTTAGAAAATCCATTGTTGTTGCAATCGCTCCAGATAAATATCAGCAGTGGTTGAAGTAGGTTCAACAGACAGAGGTAAAAGCGTGCATAAAAACAGTTATTTGGAACGATCACTCAGCCATATGAAGTTACACGCTATGTTCCCAACCCATCCAGAAAAGTACCTTCACAAATATTCGGATATAGGGATTTCGCCTGAACCATTTGAGGTATCGTCACTCCGATCGACATCCACTTATCTTAAACCTAACACAAAAGTCAGATATATCCCGAACTAGGTTCGAAAACTCATTAGCGTTAACATGTCATTTATTCTCGTTATCACTTTTGCTCTTGGAAGTTTCAGTTCCTCGCTGGTTAATTGTTGTTACTAATATCAAAAATATTAGGCAAATGGACGTGTAAACAGTTGCTGGCCATCAGTGAACAAAAAATAACGTGAAGGCGGTCCTCTGCAAAACTGATGAGGAAATTAGTATCGTCTTAATGTAAAGGAGTGTTTGTATTTCTAAATAAAACTAGATACCCTTAGACGAATGAATGTTTTATGTAAATGGGAGTAAGAAGGACCGAAAATACATAAAGAACAAAACCTGACCAAATACCTGAGATCTAACTACTAGCTGTTTGTACCTGGTTGTCTGTTAGAACATCAATCTCGTGAATGTGTGTACTGCTAAAAGTTTATGTAGTCGGTGTAGCTCTAAGCATAATATTGTCCATGACAAATTCAGAATATCATCATACAGTTCATTGGTCGACATAATTGTGGGAACTGACACGAAAACAAATGGTTCAGCATAGTGTTTGTGATAGCTTCACATTTGTTAAGCACATTAGTGCTTGGAATCTAAAAGAAAATAACGTTTTCACTCTGGACATAGCTTCCTTATTCACGAGTGTACCACTGTTAGAAACTATCACTTATTTATCCAAGTACGTGCAAGAAAACAGTACTCATCCGGGCGTGCCCTTGCCATATTTAAAAGAATGGTCTTTGAGATGAACTTATAA